ATCCCAAAAAAATGTAAAAAAAAGTTTCATAGATTTTTTTTTTTAAAGAAAAAAAACTTTCTTACTATCCCTCTCTTTATCACTTTTTTGTTTGTTTGTGTGAATGCATATCTTTTACCCATTTTATCTATTTAACTATCCACTTTTAAATGGGTAATATGGGTATTACTCGTTTTTACCTATTTTTAAATGAGTTGGATATCCAATCCATTTAAAATGGATAAATATGAGTGGATACCCATATTAATTACCCATTCTGCCACCCCTAGTCATAACTGTAAACTCATCCAAAATATTTTTATTTCGACACTTATGATGATTACAAGGACATCTTAACTTCTCACCATCCATGCGCTGTGGATGTCTTTTAGCAAATGCAACAAAGTTCTCAACTCCATCAATAAACTTTGGATTTATGAATCCATCTTCCAGTATTCTAACATACATCCACTCACGATCAGAGTTACTCGTATTATATGCTCATAAACAAATAATAAATGTGTTAAAACTTACATGATGACTACTAATTTTTATATGACACTAGAACCTAGAGGTAGCAAAATCTAATGAATTCAAATTCATGAACAATCAGTTAATCACCAAAAGTTATATTAGTTAGTGTTATACAATTTAAATGTACACTAGAAATAGTGTACTATTTTATTTTAAATAATACTGCATGTCAACGTGATCATGTAAAAACAGATATGCCAAAGATGTATTCAATTAATAAACTTCATTTTACTCGTACGATACCAATATTTTTTTTAGTGATTTAATTTCTAAGAACAAGAAACTAACCTTTAGCAAATGTGATAATATGTTTTGTATCCTACTTGGGCACATAAAATAAATGCTTTAAGATGTAAATTATCCTCTCACCTAACTTAAGCAATGATAGAAACACCAATGTAGGAATCTTCTAGAAGCCAATAGACATACACGAACTACCTGAAAAAGTTTATAGAACAAAAGAGAATGAGATGAGAAGTGATGTAAAAGAGATTACTTTCTAATAAATTAAAAGCACAAGTTGACGAAAATTCTTTTTTCTCTTTAGATTATACATAATTACATTGTTCTTTAAGAACAAGCAAAAAAATAGGTGTTTAGTCATTAATAGAGTGACATTTGAAAACAAAAAATAATATTCATGAAGTTGAAAAATTGTATTGAAAATTAAAATTGTGTTTGAACATGCATTTGACTTGAAAAAAGAAGTTGAAGTTTTGTAAGTGAGTGAAAAAATTTCAGTTCTTCGAATTTGAAACATTCACCTTCAAAAACCAACCAAAAATCATTCTAATCTATAACCAAAAATATTTTTTGGAAAAAAATTTGTTACCTAACAGGGCCTAATAAATAGCAACAAGAGAACGCAATTCATCAAAATTGAAGGCCAACCATACATATGAACCTTAGATCAACATTGACAATTCCAAATTTGTTTACTGTCCAAGAAAAACATAAAAAATATAAAAATATTGGAAGAACAACAACACTATAGAGAAGATACCAATCATCAAAAAAGTTGTGAATTTTAGCACATCAATGACAAAATATAATTGCAACATGCCTTCACTAAAGCTTGTTGTATGTGTAAATCTTATCCAATATACATTAGAAGAGCGAAAATTTACGGTAACCCATATGAATACAACACACATAAATAAAACTTAAAACTTACACCCAAATCAGTTAGGTAAATGATCCAATTTAATAATTTGATGAATACCCATAAAAAAAGCTATATAATAGTGAAGAGTATAATGGACCCAATATCAAAAACTAAAAATTATTCACTTTATAACATCGATTCAAGAAAAATGGGGACAAATCTCAGCAAGAGTATAAAGAATAAAAAAATTGTTCATTGTAGATAAAATAAAAAGAAAAGATTTATACCTATGAGCAATATAGCAACGAATCAAAGATTAGATGAGTTCAAAATCACAACTACAGTGTTGAAAGAATGAGAGGTAGAAAAAGGAAGAAGAACACCCATTGTAGTTCTCTGACTTCTCTCTAGAACCCTAATTTTCTAATGAAATAAAGGAGTTAAAAGGTGGGAAAACTAAAAGTGCTGAAAATTTTGGGGCAAAGTTAAAAGGTCATCTAACATATTTTAAAATTTTCGCAGAAAAAATAGTTCATTAAGTTAAAGATTATAATTTATTGTCTTTTTATTAACTTGAGACGGAATGTAGATCCGTCATAAATTTTGTGATGAATTTGTGACAACATATATTCATTTATTTTTATTTGCTATAATTTTGTGACGAAAATGTTCTGTCACAAAACTTATATTAAATATTTGTTACAAATATGTCACAAATTCGTCACTATCAGAATTTTAGTAGGTAAAAAAATTCTTTAAAAAAAATTATTTAGACAAGATTAATCTGTCTCAAATCCATCAAAATTTCGTGACAATTTGTGACAGACTTCTCCGTTCTGAATATTCCGTCACAATTTTACTCTTTTCTTGTAGTCATAATGAAAATGATCATAATTTAAAAGTACTAAATCATGCTAAAATAAGTT